CTACATAGATTTTATAATTTAGTTATTAAGCTAGAGTTATAAATAGGGCAGGTCTTATATAGCAGATGTCTATTTACTATTTAAGTTCTAGTTTATATCTAAATTAAGTAGGTAAAGGTTCTTTAAAAGCTTCCTTTTCTTTAGGTTTAAGTAGTTATTAAATTATTTTATATAGCTTATTTTAGTAAAAGGCCTAGCTTGTTAGCCTTACTTAAGTAGTTTTTCTCTAAGTTATTAAAAAGTAGGTCTAGAGACCTTCTATATTAAGTGCTATTTAGGTGTTATTTAGGTGTAAGTGTAAGCATACATTTTAGCATTAAAAAGAGTTAAAGTTTAGAACTTACTCTTAGTAATTAAAGGCAACCTTATGCTAATATAGCTATAGTTGTCCTAGGATTAGGTTATAACATCCTATGTTTATTACATAAAGCTTAATCTGCTCCTTGTAGTGTTAGTAAGTAATTATAATAGTTATAGTATAAAAGATAGAACTTTTTTTAAGTTATTTTTTATTAAATCTAGTTAAGTAAATTATTTAGGTAAGTAGTGTTAATTAAAGATTTAGTTTACGCGCTAGTTCTTTATTAATGTAACTTATGCTATTTACTTCTAAGTTAATAAGAGCCTATATTAAAGCTAATATAGTTTTTTATTATAAATATATAGAAATATTAACTTAGTACTTTTAGTTATTAGTAGGGGACTTAGCCTATAAGTTAGCAGAGATCTAGTGTTAAATTAGTCCTAGAGGGCAACTTAGCCCTAGGACAAGCCTTTTTGCAGGCTCCTACTGCTATAGCTGCGGCTACATTAAGAGTAGCAAAAGGGATTAGAGCTTAAATATAAGTTAAAGCCTTTATAAAAATAAAATTAAAATAGTAAAAATCTTTAATAAGTACTAGCAGCACTACTTACGCAGACTTAAGAAAAGGAAATAAAGTAGTTTTAAAAAATATAACTATGCTTACTACACTTAAAATATTAACTTTTTTTTTTATAATCTTTACGCTTTTTAGAACTAACTAGAGCATAATTTAAATTAATTTTTATTATATTAGGGTCCTTATTTATAACTGCGCTAGTTTAGGGGCGTATTAGGGCTTGTACAGGGAGGAACCTTATGTTATTATTATAGGTAGTAATTAGGTTCGCATATGTGTTAAGGTTGTTTAGAAGGGGTTCTTCTACTATAGCATGTTATAGTTTAGTTAAGAGGGAGTTATATAAGGCTGTAATTAGACCTATCTTATTTAAGCCTATATTAGATGCAAGTTAGTAGAACTTAGTAAAGTGTAAAGTAAAGCTTTTTTTTTTTTATTATAAGGTGTTTAAGTAACTTAGAGCTGTTAACTTTTTATTTAAGTCTTTATAAGTTACTTATAAGAACACTATAAATTAATCTAGGTTAATAATATCCTTATTTATTAGTAAGTTAATTAAGGCTATTATGTTATAGTTAAGTTAAAAGTAGGCATATAGTAACTAAAAGTATTTAGAGAGAAATTAGTCTACATTTCCTTTAAGTTTATATTAGAGCTTATGTAGAAAGAAAAGTAGGTCTTTTTATTTTCTATTAAATAGCAGAGGATTAAGGAGTTAGTTAGATTTTATTACTAAGTTAGAGGGGTTACAGGTTGTAGGCAGCGTTAGGTAGAAAAGAGTTAAGCTATCTTTAAACTTTTAAGTAAGCTTTAAGGCTAGTAAGTTCTTAGTTTTTACTACTATAATAAAAGTTAAGGTAGAAACAGACTGCTTAATAATATAAAGCTATTCTTTAAAGTCTTTTTAAAAAGCTTTAAAGCTTATAATATAGCAGCTTTTTTATAAAGTAAGCGCTTTTTAGAAAGCTTTTTAGCTTACTTTAATAGCTTAGAGTTATGTAAGTACTAAGCTTATTAGATTAGATTTAGAGGCTATTCTTAGCTAAAGTTTTAACATAACATAATGTTATAATTATGCATAAGTAAGGTTATAGAGCTTTATAAAAGTCTAGTTTAATTACTATATAAGGTATTATAGTAGGTACAAGACATTGTGTAAGGAACAAGAAAGTTTAAAAGGAAATTAGTAATTAAATACTTAGCTTAGAAGTCTAAGCGCTTTAGGTATAAATTAAGCCTGTTCTAGGTTTAGTTAGTGTTAAAGCAGTTTATGCTTAAGTTTATGTCTGTGTTATGTTATGTTTGTGTTAGACGTGCACTAATAATACTCCAGTACGCGTCTAATACGGTTATGTCTGGGATCCGGGGAGGATACCGTGACACTAGGTTATTACAGTCTCTAAAAACAGCTAGATAATAAATAAGCTTAGGCTATAGTAGTTAAAGCACTTTAATAAGCATATAAAAAAAGTTATAAGTGCTTATTAGCTTCTTATTATTAACAGCTATAAGAGCTATAACTTACTTAATTTCTAGTAGTACTATAAAAAAAATTGTTACTATTTATATGCCTTTACACTTATTACACCTTTTATAGCCTTTTAATATAAGTTGTTTTGCCTCTTTAAAGAAGGTATATAGGCGCTAAGCTAAAGATTTTATGCGTAACTAGATTACTTATATTATAAAACTTAAGTTTCTACTATGCTTTATACACGCTTATAATGTAGTAATTACTTTTAGTAATATTTAAAAAAGGTTTTAAGGCGCTAGTTTAGTCTTATTTAACCTAGAATAAGTTAAAATAGCTTTTAATGTCTAGTTATGTACTTTATTACTACTACTACTTATTAATAATAAGCTCTAGTAGTTCTAAACTTTAAGTAATACCTTTAAATTTAGGTTATAATTAACGCTTATAAAGGTAAAAATTTAAAAGCATATAGATAGCTTACTAACATCTATAGTAAAGGCCTTTAAAAAAGTCTTAAAAGGGGCAGTAATTATTACACATAAGCTAGTGTTAGTATAAAAAAAGATTATAAAGCTTTAAGTAGTAAATAAGGCTGCTACGCAACATAAATTACATAAAAGAAAGTAAATTTAGGCAGAAAAAACCTTAATAGTTAAGGATAAAGCTTGTTTAACTACTCTAAAGAAGTTTAAAGCGTGTAGTAATAGAAAGAAGCTAAAGACATAAGTGCGCGCTAAAAAAGGTAAGCTAAGTTAAAGGTAATATAAGTAATGTAATTAGACTAGGCATAACTTACATATGTGTAAGAAAGTAGTAGAAGTAGACTCTAAATAATATCCTGTGTTGTATTACTCTATATAGGGCTAAAGTAGGCTGTTTTGCTCTAGAATAGGGTAGTTTTAGTAGGGGCTTGGCAAAAGTGGCTGGCTAACCTGTGTGGCCGGCCAACCTGTTAGGTACGTTATAAAAAGCTTTTTTATAGTTATACCATGCTTAAATATTACTTTAAGGTCTAGATAACGCTTTTTAAATATACTAGCCTAGTTTATGCTAATATAGCCTAGATTACCCTTAGCGCGTAAAGAATTAGCTATATTAGCTATAAATGCTATTTAAAAAAAATCTTTATATATATAGCTTAAGTATAGTCTTAATAATTACCTACTTCTTTTTATTACCTAGCCTTTATAAGTTAGCTGTAGAATTAGCTTATAAAAGGTGTCTAGTGCTATAGTTATTTATTATCTTTTAAAGGACTTTATATATAGCTGTAGCATGTTTCTTTAAGAGTTTTATATTTTATTTAAAAGCTTAAAGTGTAAGCTGTATTTAACATTCTTTTAGCATATCTAAGTAGTATTATTAGAAATGCATTAGTGTAAAAAAAGTAGTTTAGTAAGGTCCTAGCAAAAGTAAGCAACTTAGGTGTGTAAGTAACTTGCCTGTAAAGTACGTTAATATATATTTTTTATTACCTCTAGTTTCTTAACATTCTATTTATATAAAGGGCTGTAACTATTAAGAAGAGGTTTTTATAAGAACAATCTTATAGTTGTATAAGCAATATGCTAGTAATTAGTAAGCTCTAGTATAGCTAAATACATCTTAGTACTAATAGTATTTAAATAGTAATTAAAAGTCTACTAATGCTTTAGTTTTACACTTATTATTTAATAGTAAACCTTACTTATCTTTAATTAAACACTTAATTTTATAAATAAAAGTTAAAAAAAACTTTTTTTTATGTTAAAATAAAAAGCATTTACTAAAATAACAGTAATAGTAAAGAAATAAATGTTCTTTAGACCTATTCTAGACTTCTTAATAGATAGGTAGATAAATAATTTAAGTGTCTTTAGACTATAGGCAATAAAAGAGCCGTCTAATTTTAGTAGCCTTAGTAAACCCTTAATGTAGTAAATTATTAGGCTGTATAACTGCTAAATATAGTCTTTTTCTTATAGTGCGCTGTGTTATCTAATATCTAACTTTACTTTTTTATTACACGCAGGCTAGTTTAATTATATAAGTAAAAGTAGTAAAAGTTTATAAGTAGCTAAATACTTCTTAGGCTAACGTATTCCACCACCGAACCCGCCAAACCACCGAACCCGACAAAATCTCTTGGCATTGCAAACACTACATACAAAACTCTAATTTTATTTACAACTAAATAAAGAACTTATGTACAACATGCCTGCATCTAATTCTAGTGCTTCTTCTTTATCCTTTTTGCATGTATAAGCGTTGTGCCTAGTCTCCCTACAGTTCCTACAGCGCTGCAGAGCTGGTTAGGCTCTTTCTTAATTACTACCACCACAAGCCTTCTTTAACTGCTGAGCTACTACAGACGCCTTAGCAGCTACCTGCGCTGCTGCAGTCCTATACTCTATTGTGCTACCTTGCTAGATCTGCTTTCTTTTACGCCCCTTGCGCTTAGTTACGTCTGCTAATTACTCTTTAAGCTCTTGTACGCGCGCCTTTATAAGTATATTTCTATGTAGCATCTTTTTAGCTCCTTTTACAAGCTGTAAAAAGCTTTCTTATGCTATTATTAGTAATTATATAAAGGAATTATGTATAAGCTTTAATTATAATCTAAATTTGTATAAATTGCTTAGGGTCTTTAATTGCTATAGCGTTTCTAGTAGGGGTTCTAGTAGTGGGGTACGCAGCTGCACGTTAAGATAATTAAGGACTACTTGCGCGTTAATAGGAACTAGTCTAGATGCCTTAAAGGCCTTTTTGCAGTTATTATACATAAAAATGTCTAAAAATGTGTCTTTAAAGGCTAGAAAGAAGCGTTCTTTGTTAACATGCTGCACACATTAGCGTGCTAAGTCTTGTATGCGCTAAGAGTACTTAAGCTTTAACAGTAAGAAGCACACTACATTAAGTAGCTAGAGGATATGCAATAAATGCGCAGGCATACAGAGCGTAAGGATCTTTTGTATAAAGTAATAATTCTTAAAATTCTAGTTTAGGTAGCTCTTATAGCTATCTAGTATAAGCAGCCTGTATACCCCTACCTAACGCGTCTTTATATGCTTATTAAAGTGCTTTAACTACTTAAGACTAAGTGTGTTATTTATCTAGCTATTTTTAAAAACTAATAGCTTTTAATTACACAGTATTAACGTCTCCTTGTACTAGGCAGAGATGTGGACGCGTCCTTTGTAGATAATAAATAGCGGGGTAGCGTAGCTAGCAGCGCAGATGCTTTAGATTACAGTAACCCATTCCTAGTTACCTAGCTATGTAAGGATAGGCCTTATACATCTTTCTAAACCTGTAATAACTTTTATAGTGCTAATTATGCCTATCTAGAAGCTAGTCTTATTAAAGTTGTAGATATTATTATTGTAAACACTATATTTTGCTATTATGTTTTATATAAGCTTAAACTACTTTATAATTAACTCTAGGTTTTCTTAAAGTATTCTCTAGCAGTTCTTTACTTAATTAAATGCTATCTTAAGCTTCTCTGTATAAGACATAAACTGTGTAGGCTAGTTTATCCCTACTAGTGTCCTACTACGCGCAGCTAACAGTCTGTTTGCTATATCTACTACCTTACACAGCTAGGGCGCGAATCCTTGCAAATTAAGGTTAAGGATATATTGTATAATTATCTACTTTTTAGTTGCAGTAAGTTTTTAGCAATTTAGTTATATAGTAAGTTAAAACATAATTCTGTTAAGCTAAGCAGTAAGCTGCTAATAAGGCACGTTAAAAGCTACTGCAGCTTGTTGTACGTGTTTAAATTAGCGTAAGCAGTAGGCCTAGAGCGCAAGGACAATTCTGCCTTCTTGCTAAGTAGGTATAGTCTTGTGTTGTTTAGACATCGCGTCTTGTATATGGTGTTCGCAATGCTAAGAGATTTTGTCGGGTTCAGTGGTTTGGCGGGTTTGGTGGTGGAATACGTTATATAATCTAATTTTTTTTATATCTAGTTAAAGTTTAAAACATTATAACTATTTAATGCTAATAATATAATTCTGTAAGCTAAAGTTTATAATAACTAAAAGGCAGTTTTAAATGCTTTTACTATTAATTTACATATGCAGGTAGATCTACTAGTAGACAGAAACTTAGATTCAGTCTTAAAAACTCTTAACTATAACTTTAAAAAGTAAACATTAAATAAGAATATAAAAGCATTAAAATAAAAACTTAGTAGTTATTAAATTAATAAATAAAAAACTATATATACTAGTTGTAGAGGATAAAATAGCCTGGCAGTAGCTGTTTAGAAGATTAGATGAAGTGACTCTACTATCTAAGAGAGCTAAAGGCTCTCCTTATATACACTAAGCTTTAGAACATAATATCTCCAGATCCCGAGCTGCGTCCCAGGCTCTGAGCTCCAGTCCCAGGCTCTAAGCCACAGTCCCAGGCTCTGAGCCCTAGCTAAGGCTCTTAGTATACGCGACACACCCCCTAGGTGAGCTGCGCAGCAGCTTACCTGTGTAGAGCGTTAACTTAGCTTATTAAAGCAGCGCTACGCGTTTACCCTATGTTTATGCTTGTTACCCTAGGCAGCGCAATGCTTATTTCCCTAAGCAGCGTAAGTTACATGTGTGCTCTAATTACTACAACAAAGGTAAATAAATTCTTTTACTTTTTAAGCTTCTTTTTTATAAGTCTAACTAACATGCTATGTGTAAGTTAATGCTTCTAAAAGCTTTAAAAACAACTTTAAACCTATCTATAATCTCTACTAATATGCATCTGTAGCTTAATAAAGCTAAAAGAGCTGCCTGCTTGCGTGCTGCTGCTCTGTATGGCTACGTTGCCTACAAGCCCGCGCCTACTACCCCCTGCTAGCCTGCGCCCACCACGCCCCGCCAGCCTGCGCGTACCCGCAAGCCCGCGCCTACCACCCCCTGCCGGCCTCCCCCTAGTGCGTGTAACGATCCTCATGAATCGTTCCATCTCGGATGGCCCGGAAGGCCCCCGTATCGGCCCCGACCTCGACCTGGCCCCGACCCCTGCTGTTACCCCTATTCCCTCATGTATTTAGTCGCACCTCGCCCCCGTAGCTAGCTCGGTAGTTTTCTGATATCCTACGTACAAGGCCTATAGGTGTCATTGGTATTCCCAGGTCTCTGAGTCCCCACGCACTCCCATATGCCTCTGAGTGGATTCATACCGCATTCGGACCCATTGTCTTGCCTGCGCCGTTACAGTGCGCTCCGCGCGCAGTTCTGTCTAGGCTACATAAAGATTGCGCTTGCAAGGCGCTCTAGTAAAAAGTGCTATAATTCTGCCTCTAGTAGTTTACGCTGTTAGCGCTGTTCCTCTAGGCACAGCTGCCTGCCCCTATAAGCTCTGTAGTAGTGTGTAGGGTAATCTAGTTTTAACTTATTTACAGTCTCTTTATTACTATTATCTATGCGCAGCGCTTTATTACAGCTTTTATTATAAAGAATAAGTAGGTAAGCTTTTTTGCAAAGATTATATGTTATACTTTAGATTAGACTAATAAGCTATAGGCTATGTTCTAGCTTTAGCTAGTTTTTTAAGCTCTGCTTAAAAAGAATATAGTAAAGAAAAAAAAAGAGAAGAAAAAAAAGGAGAAAGAAGAGGAAGAGGAAAAGGAGGTAGAGAAGGAGGAGAAGGAGGAGTAGGGTGACGTTTCCCCTAGGCTCCTAGCGCGTTGCTAGCGCGCTAAGAAGCTCTTAGATAAGCTTATTAATCTTTTTATAGTTTAGGTGTTTTATATTTTTACACATCTTATATACTAAACACCTGCTTAAACTTTATAGTATAAAGAAGTGTCTTTGCTAGTAGATAGAACTCTTGTTTCTAGGCAGTGTAAAAATGTCTTTACTATTAATAATTAACACTTTCTTTTTTTAAAAGCTTAATTACATGCCTTTAAAGTTAAAAAGCTGCTTAAAGTGTTTAAATTACTATTTTAGTAAGTGCTTTATAAGTTTATTTACTAGCATGTTGCTTATTTTAATATAGCGCACTTTAAAAGATCCTTTTATGTGCTCTTAGCGCAGCTACATGTTCTAAATATTAATGTAGTACAGGTAGGTAGTTATTTAGGTGTTCTTCTCTACTCCTAACTAGATTATCTACTAGTTATTATAGTAGATCTGCTATAGTGTGCCTAGCTTGAAAGTAAGCTTCTTAAAGAAGCATTTTAAAGCTAGTAATTTTTTTATAATATATGCTAAAGTAAGCAGCTTAGATTTTATTATAAACATAGTTACTATTAGCTAAAAAGTTACTTTTTATAAAATTAGTCTTTTAAAAAGTAAAATAATGTATTTATAAAATAATTATCTAGTTTTTATATAATTAGTAAAAGATGCATTTTTATACATAATAAGTTGCGCACCTTCTAGTGCTCTATACTATATGCCTGTATACCTTATGTAGTATAGGTATATAATTACTTAGTTTACTGCCTAAAAGTGCTACTTTCTTAGGTTTATTAAGTAGTAAGAGAGCTAGGATGCTATAAACGCTACATTAGAGCGCACAATAATTATAGTGTAAAGTGTTAATCTTACATACTTTTAGTATTTCTTAATTTTATACTTTATTACTAATCCCTAGTTACTTATAAGCTCTTTTAATAGTAAAAAAGTCTCTAGAAAAAGCACACTTTTTATAAAATTAAACTTTTTTACTACTTTCTTAATATATATGTTATGTACTAGCTAGATTATTTTAGCCTTTTTATTTTTAATTATTTTAATTTTTAGAAACTATTTACATAGCCTTTAATTTTTTAGCTTATATATTTTTTTAATTATACTAATTAATTAGTAAGCTTTTAACTTATTATTATAGTAATAAATATAAAGTATGTTACCTATATAAAAAAAAGTAAGATATAGTAATTATAGTTAAAGAATAAGCATAGTTTCTTTTTAAATAAAGTAAGCTTAAGCTTTTAAAAAGCCTATAACAGCTTTTAGTACTATAAAATTAGTAAGTTACATAGTTTATATAGGGCTTAGAAAAGCTTAACGCACATGCTAGGCTTTATAAAGCCTTTTAAAAGCTTATATGTTACTTCTAGCTTACTTTTATAGTATGTGTTTAAAAACACACTTATAAAATTATATTACCTAATTTTTAAGTTAAATTAAGCTGCTATTACTATTACTATTTAAAAAGATCTAGCTGTAAGAGTAGTAGTATAAGTTAACTAAAGTAAGTTCTTACTTTAGAGATTACTATATACATAAATGTAAGCTTTATATTTAATAAAATACCTATTTTAGTTAAATTTATATATTAATACCTGCTTTAATAAAAGTAGCTTAGATGTTACTTTAGTTTATATAATTTTTTAAGTGCTTTTTTTAAGTAAGGTAGCTATTTTTTTTACACTATAATTTTAAAAAGATTTTTATATAAGTGTTTATATAAATCTTTTTATTTTAAAAGTTTTTTTAAGAGCTTATAAACTCTTAGTTAAAGCTGCTTAAAAAAAAGCAGCTATAAAAACACTATATAAAGTGTTTTAAGCACTTTATTATTATAAGTAATAAATGCTTTAAAAAAGTTTATTTAAAGGTGCTTTAGATTAACTAAAGTAATATATATACTACTTCTTTTTAAAAGTGTTATATATATACTTTTGCTTTCTACACCTCTAGGCTTACCTAAGTTATTAGAATCTTACCTTTATATTCTTTAGCTTGTGTATGTAGCTAGTTTCTAGCTTTTTTTATTATACACACACTTAAAAAGTGCCTTACTTGCTTTAACTAAAGCTATAAAAGATAATGTCTTAGTGTAAAAAGTAAAAGTTAATTTTTTAACTACTAAGTTAGCTATCTAACTTAATAAGCCTAGT